AAACGTAATTTTATTTTTTTATTTAAACAATTCGGAACTGTCAAATTATTCTTTTGACATGTATTTCAAAGCCTTCTTGACCTAATGCACAAAAAAATTTGAAGTTCTGTTAGCGTGTTCATTGCATTTTATATAAAAAGTTGTAAAGGTCCCAAAAAATAAATTCAGTTGATAAAAAAATTGTACCGGGTACCTTAAAAATATGAACTGATTAACTAGTAACTAGTATGTAACATTTAACAGGAGTTTAAATCAAATTACATTGTGAATTTATAATTAATTTATAATTAACCCTTTTTAACATTTCATCTAAGAATCTCGCTAAACTGTTGTGTTTATAGGCAATATTTAACATAAACGAACGTATAATTAGAGTACTTTTTAGTAGTGATATGAAATACAGTTTGTTACATTTAAAAAAATTGAGAAAATCATGTATCTGAGTTTTGACCCACCCTGTACAGTGTACACGTGTATTGCGCTAGGAAAAAATTAGTACATTCTTATAAAAGTAGACTATCATTAAAAATGATTCAACAAAAACTTTTGATGTTCGATTGTTTCTGTTGAAATATACAGAGGGTTGAACCTAGTACGATTTTCATATACAATTGGTTTAAACTCCCAAAATACCCAGTATAACCTCATACATGTTGGTATTTTCTTGAAAAGCAAAGTCAGGGGAATTCAAATTTACAATTAAATACAGGATGGTCCATTTAAAAAAACATAGGTATGATCAATTCTGAAGTTATGGATCACTCTGTATTATCGAAAATAATTTTGAAATGTTCATATTAATATTATCTACAACTTTTGTAAATAACATTGTTTGATATTTTCTATAATATAGGGTATATCGAACTTCCACACACTATTGGGACACCCTGTATATACCGGGAATTGTATCTCTATTATGGATTTTCATTAGGCTGCTCATGCTGCCCCTTTACGGTGCCGCCTAATGCGGCCACATCTCCGCATCACGGCCCTACGACTGAACTAAGTAAATCAAAATATAAATGAAATAAACTAGTGCCTTTTAGCTGAATTCTTTTATAGTAATTATTGAAAATGTTTTTATTACAAATTATAAATTAATTGTTAGTGTAATATAAAAATTTTGTATTCCTTATTTTTATTCAATGATAAAGCTGGTTGCTAAAAACTATTAAAATTAAATAGAACTAATCGACCGTAAGAGTTTAATAAAAAAAAAATATTTCTTTTTTTTCTCATTTCATTTCACACGCATAACAAACAGAGACTGGTCATTAGAGAAGTAATAAAATATATTTTTCCTAAGGTCATAAATATTATTTTAATTAACGCGTTTGATTAGAAATAAATTAGATAATAAAAAATATCTTTAAAATATTCAATATACGGTGTCCTATCGTACGATTTACTTAATTTGAGATTTTAAGTTTTGATCATTTCATGAACAAATTTAAGTTTGTTTAAATGGTCTAGGTTCTAGGTCATACTCTTAAATTTTTTTGTGGGAAATATAACTCATTATTATTTAAACTTTTTACATGATGCGGTTAATTAATTTTAAATGAATAATTTTGTTTGCTTGAAAATAAAAATCAACAAGAATATAACAAGTTCTTTTTTTGTTGTGCAGTGTGCATGACTAATATTGCAAATAACTATTTTAGAAATTCTAATATTAAAACTGAAAAAAAAATATATTTTGTAATTTACAAAACTGAACCACGAAACTCGGATTGGGCCATAAAAATATACGTAGATATGTCAAAAAGTACACATCTAAAAAACAAAATCGACCTGTAAGGTGATTACAGCACCCCCTTATAATTTTGGCACAAGGATATCTCAAAAAGTGATTTTTTTAGAAAATTTAAATTTGGGCAAAATAAATTAGGCAATAATATCTAGAATACGCATATTTTTTAAAGTTTTAATTCTTTTCAGTTTCCGAGAAAAAAAATCAAAGGGCGTTAAATTTTGAAATATCATAATGAAAATAAATGCATTCCTCAACAGCACTATTCCTAATATAATCCCCAAATTTAAGCTCCTAATCTTTTGTTAATGATTTTTTAAAATTCGCCGAAATTAGTGGCTAAAACGCCTCGTTAAGTGATTTTTTCTAGTGTAACGCGTCTGTAACTATCGTATCGTACACTCTGAGTCATCATTCGTTTCTTGCAACGACTTACACCAGTTTACACCAGTTTAAACCAGAAAATAGCACTTAACAAGGCGTTTTAGCCACTAATTTCGGCGAATTTTAAAAAATCATTTACAAGAGATTAAGAGCTTAAATTTGGGGATTATATTAAGAATGGTGCTGTTGAGGAATGCATTTATTTTCATTATGATATTTCAAAATTTAAAGCCCTTTGATTTTTTTTCTCGGAAACTCGAAGGAATTAAAATTTTAAAATATATGCATATTTTAGATATTATTGCCTAATATATTTTACCAAAATTTTAGTTTTTTAAAAAAATTACTTTTTGAGATATCCTTGTCCGAAAATTATAAGGGGGTGCTGTAGTTTGTTATTATGTCATCACTATTCGAAATATGACGTAATAACTAGTTTTTAAATGACAACATTCTTTTTTGATAGTACCATTTAAAAGAGCAATTTTTGCGTATTTTTATAAGAATAATTTCTTGACCATAGCAGAATGTTATATAAATAAAAATTTCCTTTGTTAATTCGGTCTTTTTTTTTTAATTTCAATTGTTTAGCACACTACATATGTTTCGGAAAACTTTTCCATCTTCGGGTGCAGTCATAAATTAATAAAACATGAAGACGATTACAAACAAATTAAAACATTTTTAAAATAATTTTAAAATAACAGAAATTCTATCTTTCTGTTTCATCGTGTGAAAGTGTATTTAAAATAATGATTTGGTTTAACACGATAAAGTAGGGAAACAAAAAGATGAGTTTTTACAAATTTAAAAAAATTCCAGTGGCGTTACAGTTAAGGATCTAATTTTATGATATTTCTGTATCTGTAACGTGTGGAGAGTGGGTTACCCCTACGGCATTCAGGCCTCACTAGGCCCATTGTGCATCCTCCTTAGATAATAGGCACCTCCTAGCTCGTGAGAAAGCCTACAGATTTAATGTAGTTGACAATGTTGCCAATGTCTTAGCCGATACCCTCGAACACAAATCTTTGATTCTAATAAATGAGTGCCTCGATAATTTATAAAGTATATTATTATTATTATTATTATTATTATTAATATTATTATTATTATTATTATTATTATTATTATTATTATTATTACTATTATTATTATTATTATTATATGATTGATGGTCTCAGCTTCTTGTTTGCGTCCTCTGCAGAGAGCGGATTTTAAAAGCCTCGTGATATAAAGATGCTTCCGTACTAAGCAATAAACAGTAAGAATGTCTGTGACTAGGCGCATATTCTGATTATTCTTAGTCAAGTTTTTTTTTTGCTGCAGTGTTGTCAGGGTAACTTAAAAGATCCCTGGCAACTCTGCAGTTTCTTATTTCATCCCATCTTTCCTTGAATTTCACAAGGGAATGTTCTTTAGTTAAGTCTGTCAGGCCAATAGAAGGGTGAGGTCCAAAAAGTATTTGGCTGGCTGCTTTCTAGGCCAGTGAATCAGCAGGACGGTTTTCTTGGATGTAGCGTGACCTTTGATCCATATTAAGGTGACCACATTGTTGATGGATACCTCGGCCAAAGCTTCGTGACATTCTAGTACTAACCCTGTGTAAATTCGTAGTCTGTTCGGGATGAGTAGTGCTTGTCTGCTATCTGTATAGAAGATCATGTGCCTTCCAGTGATATTGTTTCTAGTGATTTCTTTTGCTGCTATGATAATCCCCGTGAAATCTGTTTGAACTTCTCTGGCACTATTGCTCACAGTCCATTTTATGTTTAGATTTAAGAATCTGAAGTATATTTCTTGTTCTGTTTTAGAACCGTCGTGTAGATATGAATCGTATCTGCCACTTTCGGCTCTCCTATTTGTTCTAATTTTATAGGACTTATGGAAGAAATATCTTGGTAAGATGGAGTCCATGTTCGCTTGAAGGAGTGGGAGCGTATCGAGCGCCTCCTGCCAAAAATGACGTCTCGCCGCACCAGATCCTACATCAGGATATTTTCCAACCGTGCGGAGGCGTGTTATTGTCGTCAGAGCAACCTCCCTAATGTAAATATCAAGGGTAGTGAGACTAAGAATGACTTCCATGGCTCTGGTCGTTTTTGTTTTCGTGGCTTCTGTTATGTTGAGACATGCTGTTCTTTTAATTTGTTCTAGTTTATCGATAGCTATCAATTTTTGGGTTTTCTGTACCCAGATAACTGCATCGTATGTTAGCATAGGTGTTTTGATAGTCATGCGATGACTCTGGGGCAAAAACTCCAGGTGCGTCCCAGGATTTAGCATCATTGTTCAAAAGCTATTTTGACTCTGTTTTCTAACTGCGAGTTCTATGTTAACGTACTGTGAAAAGTGAGATATAGTTACTTCACCTCTGTTGCAAAGTTTAGTTTTGTGGTTAGGAGTTTTGGAGGTTTCAGTTAAATTTTCATTAGTTTCTTTGTAAAAAGGACCATTTCTGTATTCTTAGGATTTATAGACGGTGAATGGTCCTTGCACTACTGTTTTATAATTTTGAGAGCTACTTGCATTCTTCCGCAGAGTATGGTCTTGATTTCTCATCCTAAAAGAAACCCCAAGTATTAAATTTCATACAAATTATGTTATTATTAAGGTAATATTTACAAAAACGTAAGAAAATATAACTCTGACACCATTTATTGTGAAAACTGTTGGACTGTTGGACTAAGGTACAATTTTGGGTTCTACCTCATGAATTTGTGCTCTGTACCGACATTTTAGGAACACCTCATATAATATTTTACTAAAGTTTTTCACTGCGATACAAATCATTACTTCCTTTATGTTTTCATGAATAACATAAAAATAATAACAATATTATGATTTCTTTTTTATATTTCAGGTGACAATATGATTGAATTTATATTAACAAATTGTAAATATAGCATAGAGAGAACTAAACCCCATTTGGATATGTACTATACTGTACGAACTGTGATGCCTGAAATTTTTGATCAAAACCATCCTAGTCAGCCTGATCATCAAGCCATTTATGAACTGATGTAAGTGTCTAAATGATAATTCTTATTTTAATCGGAGGACAAACAAGATTTCTTGAATACGCAATAAAAGTGTCACATAATTTTGGTTTCACTGACCGTTAATTTTAATCAAACTTTTAACAATATTTGACATATTACGTTTTAACTGTTTTTATCTCAGATAAACAAATGGAATATAGATAAGTTACGGGCGCCGTTTAACATAGGCTTTGTATGAACTGTTGATAGCTGTGATCTCCATGTGCGTATCAAATAGTTTTTTCATCAGAATTCAAAGAATTATTTTGTTAATATTTTGTCAATTACAAATTTAAAGAAAAGTGCAACTTAAACATGAAATTTTATTACACAAAAATAAATTCTGCTATTTTTTATTCAAATGTAAAAAACGACATTTAAAAAAAAAATTAGATTTCAAATGATGACACTGTTAATGTTTATTCGCGATTCAAGCTAAGTGATACGCCCTCTGGAGGAAATTTGTAAAAGGTCCCTATAAGTAGAATATCGTTCAGTGTTGCCAGAAGTAGCAAAATTTCGCTACGTCGTCGGATTTTAGTTCTTGAAGAAGTGGATAAGACCTTTTATTTAAGAATCAAAATTTGTGTATAGTAATATGTAATCATACTCTATATTTATTTAAGGATTTTTTTATAAAACCGATTTATTATATTGATTTTTTTTAAATTTCAGTCCATTTATTAATTTTGTTTTAAAATCAGTTCATTATTTGGCAACATTGGCGTTCGTATTCATTGTTTACATTTTATTTTGTAACAATTACAATTCGAGTTTTTTCTTACTATTTAGCTTTAAATTTGTTTATTTCTTACAGTATGTGATAGTGTTTATATTATAAATGAAATCTGTGAAAAAGACCCCAGCAAATTGCAATTTATATGGTGTTATGTCAAAAACAAAACTAAAGTATTCATTATTTTCCAAGTGCAAGTCGTAAAATATTGTTTTTTACGATAAATGGATATCTACAAATTCACAATATTGAAATTTTGCATAACTTTGTCTAGAATTAAACTGTAATATGATTTGTGACGGTTTTATTAACATTTACATATATACAAAGTACTGCATAATTCACTTCATAATATAAGAATAAGTCTAGTAAGATTTTTAAATAAGTTCATCAATAATAAACGTTTGGTACCTGTAATGTCCTTTAAACCACATAATAAAACATGTCCTGGGTTTAGTAAATACATATTTCTAGATGTTCTTGTAGCAACGAATAGGTGAATATTTCCAACAAATTAAGTTATACACATGATAAATATTATATTTACTTTCGTCATAAATATAAACTTAAATTAACACTAAATGAAACTCAAAAACACTATTACAATGAGAATATTACCTAAAAACAGTTAAAAAAATCACAAATACAAACTCCGCCCAAAACAAACACATGAGAAATGAAATCTTGAACCGAAAATGATTTTTTAAAAAGTTTTATTTTACTTAATTACAAGAAATTTAGATGTTTATGGTTTGAATGCTAACTAGAAACTTAATTTTTACTGATTAAACTACTTTTATATAAACAAACTATTCAAAAATGTTAACTATGCAAAATCGTATATTTTATATATTCTCCTATAGTATCGGTGATATAACTCATATAAATAAACAAACATCCTACTTATAGGTGACAAAAGACAGGCGCGCGAAAATTAATTTGAATCGCGAATTGTATATTTAAATTGGAACAACAATCCCTATTGATAAAAGGAAGCCAAATTAAATTCGCGCTTTACGTCACTGGAGTACTGGTGAGATTGTGCATAAAGTGTCTTTGCGGTCCATTTTAATCATTTTATGTACCTACTTATTTTTAAATCAGGAGAAATTATTATTTCTGAAACTTAACAATAAAAAATTAATTTTACTCTTCCGTTATATAACTAAAGGTGGTATTACCACTTGAAATGATAAATTTCAAATTTTTTAATGTAAACGGGGACTTCAAAAAATAGAAATTAGGGCAGATACACTTATTTTTAAAAATATAGAAAAAAATTATATGCAATCAGGATTTTATCTTTTCTTACTCTAAGAATTAACATGATTTGAAAGTAACTTGTAATAGACCAATTTATAAATTTGTTAAAACTTACTATAGTCTGTAGACTTGTTCCAAGAAGGATCTAATGGAGACTGTTAAGCCTAATAGAAACAATAGACCTCTTTACACAAACATATCCACTAGAAGCATAAAAACTGAAGAGGTCTTAAAACCTTGACTAGAGATGTTAATTTCATTCAGATAATATATTTACATTTAAATAAAATGCTACGATAAATTAACTGTAGCTTTATTAGTAAAATAGTAACACTAAAATATTCCATAAAAACGTTCGCAACTCTAGCAACACTTTTAGTGATTTCTTATCGATTCAGGTTTTATTTTTGTTTTAATATACTAAAAAAATTCTTTATCATTAATAACAAATTTGTAGATGAAAAATACATCTTTCATAAATTTTTAATGTCAACCTCGATAGCATCAAACTTCTACTGTCAACACACTTCCCTGACTCGGTCATCACAGACGTGGCTGACTGGGCAGAGGAAGAATACAATCCATCTGTCTATGATTGGCAAACTGCCAAACACATTGTAGACGATGAAAAATTAGATGGGCAATATCCAGCTTCTCTCCATTTAAATCGCCAGGACCTGACGGTATCTATCCAGCCCTACTTCAGTGGGGTCTGAAAAAACTCACACCACACCTGGTGGGTATATGCAGAACCTCGTTGGCTCTGAGGTATATCCCCAAAAAATGGAGAGAGAGGTAAAAGTGGTATTTATACCCAAACCTGGAAGGATGGATTACACTGTCCCAAAAACATACCGACCAATTAGTCGGATGTCGTTTTCCATGAAGACATTGGAAAGGCTATGCGAAAGGTACATAAGGGATGCGGTGATTACAACACCCAAACCAACATGCATATACCCCAGGCAGATCTACTGATTTAGCACTTCATCTAGTTGCTGGCCGGATAGAAAGATTCCTGGACAATAAGGAGTCCGCCTTGGGTGTTTTCATAAACATAGAAGGTGCCTTTGATAAAACCACCTTCCCAAAGATAATACACTCACTAACCAACAGGGATGTTTCACAAATGGTTAGTGGGTAGATACATAACATGCTCTCAAAGCGAGCAGTAAACATAAGTACATTAGTGTAGAAGAGGCTTGGTTGCGAGGGGCTGTCCACAGGGAGGGGTGCTATCACCTCTACTGTGGAATATGGTCCTCGACACCCTCATCAGCCTTCTCAATAATGACAGTCACACACAATCGTATATGCAGGTAACCTGGCCATTCTGCAAACAGGGAATTTTGAGAACATACTCTGCGAAAGAATGCAAGTAGCTTTAAAAATTATAGAACAGTGATGCAAGGACCATTCACTGTCTATCAATCCTAAGAAGGAAAAGGATGAAAATGGAATTAAAACCTACAGAACTCCTAAACACAAAACTAAACTTTGCGACAGCAAGTTAATATGGAACTCGCATTTAGAAAACAGAATTAAAAGAAATTACATTGCTTATGAACAATGCCGCCGAACCGTGGGACGCACCTGGGGTTTCTCCCCCAGAGTCGTCGCACGGACTTACACGGCAATCATAAGACCTATGCTAACATACGGTACAGTTATCTGGGTACCTAAAACCCAAAAATTAACAGCTATCGGTAAAGTAAAACAAATTCAAAGAACAGCATGTCTCAACATAACAGGAGCCATGAAAACAATACCGACTAGAGCGATGGAAGTCATTCTTAGTCTCACTCGCCTTGATATTTACATCAAGTAGGTTGCTCTAACGACAATGACACGCCTCCGCACGGTTGGAATAGAACATGATCTAGGATCTGGTGAGGCGAGACGTCACTTTTAGCAGGAGGCGATCGATACGCTCCCACTGTTTCAAGTGAACATGGACTCCATATCACCGAGATATATCATCCATAAGCCATATAAAGTTATAATAGAACAAATAGAAGAGCCAGAAGTGGCAGGTACAATTCATATCTACACTGATGGTTCAGGATGTGGAATATAGTTCAGATTTAAACCTTAATATAAAATAGGCTGTGCGCAATAGTGCCAGTGTAGTTCAAATAGATCTAATGGGGATTTTCATAGCAGCAAAAGAAATAACCAGAAACAATATCACTGGAAGGAACATACTCATCTATACAGATAGCAGACAAGCACTACTCACCCTGAACAGACCACAAATTTATTCAGGGTTAGTACTAGAATGTAACGAAGCTTTGGCCGAAGTATCCATCAACAATGTGGTCACCTTAAGATAGATCAAAGGTTACGCCACATCGAAAGGTAACCGTCTTGCCGATTCACTAGCTAAGAAAGCAGCCAACCAAATACTTTTTGGACCTGGCCCTTCTATTGGCCTGATAAAATCGGTAGTGACAGACCTAATTAAAGAAAATTCCCTTGTGAAATTCAAGGAAAGATGGGATGAAACAAGAAACTGCAGAGTTGCCAGGGGGCTCTTAAGTTATCCTGACAACACTGCAGCAAACAAATACTTGACTATGACTAGACAGAATCTGCGCCTGGTCACAGGTATTCTGACTGATCATTGCCAAGTACGGAAGCATCTCCATATCATAGGGCTGTCAGAATCCGCACTCTGCAGAGGGTGCGAACGAGAAGGTTAGACCATTGAGCATATCCATTACGATTGCTTGACGCTCTCATTTATTAGAAGATGTGTGTTCGGCGAGTATCAGCTAACACGGGCCGATATAAGAGAAGCACCGTTTGGCGACGTTGTCAACTACATTAAATCTGTAGGCTGGCTCACGAGCTAGGAGGTGCCTATCATCTTAGGAGGATGCACAATGGGCCTAATGAGGCCTAAGTGCCATGGGCGTAACCCACTCTCCACACGTTACAGATACAGAATGTCATTTATAGAAATAAAATAGATTATTAATAATTACATAAATCAAGAAGATTAAAATCACATAACTGACTTATATTACTAGACCCACCGCATAAAGCCGCACTTCAACTAATGTGCTTATACACAATCCTTTCTAACATCTTTATGCTTCATTATTGAGGCTGAATTTAAGTTAATAAAAATATATGATAATTAGACTTATCTTCTTATTCCCACCATACGCAGAATTATAATGACAGCTTATGACAAAAATTACAATCACTTATGAATATCAAAATCGTCTAGCATTAAAGAAGTCCGCTTGACGCTTTCGTTGCTACGTGGTTTTGGCCGAAAGTTAGAGAATAACTCCCTTTCAACATGTTTTTAAAGTTTTTAAAATTTTAGATATTTTAATAAACATCAAAATGATATGGGCAATAAATATTTTCTAAAAATGGGCATTTTTAATTTTTGCCATTATTTTTAGCATAACTTTTTGTCTTTGAATTTAGGCACTTTTATAGATGTCTTTTTTATAAATTGAATAACCTATAGTTTCTGGAGCAATGTCGGTGGAACAACTTGAATTTTCTGATCCAGTATGTGCAAATTATAATAATTATAAATCTGTCTTTCACTACATTCAGTAGAAAGTAGAAAGATGCAAGAAATTCTTTGGAGTAGTTTATATTTTTATAAAATGTATTGTTTCCAGGGAGCACAAAGCTTTATTTTACTTTGGCAATGAGTATACAATATATCATTAATTTTTTTCAATTTAATCTTTAAGTTTAAAATGTATGAATAATTTGTATAAGGTATTGTATTATATAATATTATTATAACTATCTTTTAAATTCGTCTTTCGCTGCAGAATTCATAACAAAATCATAATTTATAAAATATTTCCAATACATTTTAGTGTTTTTGTTAATTTTATCCACTTTAACCGTTCCTAATTCTAGGTTTTGAATACAAGATTGTGGAAAATCTGCCTACAAAAATACTAATAATATTCTACGTATAATATACGTGAACCGCCCATATTTTTTTATTTACTTGCCTTTAAAACGACCTGGAACTTCTCCAAATGTATGTTTTAGGGCAAACAAATATTGAATAGTACCTAATTTTTAGACAATTTAAAAATATGCCCTGGGAATATAAAATTACACAAAATATATAATAGATGAATTAGATTCAAGACTCATGAGAAAGAGAAAGTAATAGAAGGTTTCATACTGGCTTTAAATAAATCCAGACCTTTAGGTATCTATTATTAATTTGTTTATCTGAGGTTTTTATTGTTTTACTAATACTGTGTGTGCAGGTCATAAAAAGTAGTTCAAAGGTATATAATAGGTTACTAAATGATTATATCCTTAATGCCTGGTTATCTACTTACTCTATGAGTATATTTAAAAATATTAAAAATAATATAGTATAGGTAAACAAAACAAACAAAAGGCAATAAAAAAAAAATAATCATCAGTGTAACCAAAATTACGTCATCACTAATTTAGCGTATTGTATCTTATTTTTAGGGACTACGTAGTTTTGCCGAAATTGACAAAATCCTTGTGCAGAGTGACTGTGATTAAGTTTAAAGAGGGCAGTGCTGACAAATTAGATCTTCTTAATATGTTAACTTATGGTACAAATATTTATGAAGTAAGAGTTAACGAAGACCTTGTGATGGGAGAAGTATTTATCATAGACTGCCAATATTTTAATCTTAGCCATATTGTAAAATTTACCCCATCTGTTCTGAAGAAGTATATGTTAGTATCAGAAGTAAGTTTATTTTATTTATATGCCTTATTGAATAATTTTTAAAGCGTTTCACGGATAGTGACTTGTCAAAATTAAAAATATTGTGATTTCATTTACAAACAATTTTAATCCAAAATGTATCTCGCTAATGCTGAAAGTTTTTATGTTTTTTAAATGACTAAATTTATGTAAATAGTCCAAATAAAGTCGTACGTAGACAAAAATTTGATTGCAATTTGATTGAACAAAGAAATTTAAGTTTTCTTATCAACACGCACGTGTATGTTATGAGATCTCATTACGTGCATGTTATTGTTAAATGTTATTTACAAGGAATGTTGATAGTGCGATTTTTAACGTTTACTGATATGGGCGTAGGAAAAATAACATTAGTTACAAAAAATATTAGAATACATTAATGTTTTAATTAGTTATTTTTTTTTAACAAATAAATTAACCGTGAAAAAAAAACTTTTATTATTAATGGTTACCCACTTCTTTACTCAAAATTTTTTTCTGAACAGTAATGGTACAAAATATTGTAGGGGTTATAACATGATAAATAACATATATTTTAAACAAATCAACAACAATAGTAGTATTTTTCCAATTTTCATATTTTTTCAAAAAACAAAAAAATATTGGTAGTTACTTTAAATTTCTTTTAATAATTTTTTAAAAAGTAATATCTAAGATCTATTTTTTAAAATAACAATAATAAACAAGTGAAAGTTCTATATTACTAACGAAGTATTGGATATCTTGTATATATGTATCTTTTTATAAAAAAATATCTTTAGTTTTTTATAACAGTAAGTTTGTAACAACAGTTTTGTAGCATAAAGTAACAATATAACAAGCACAAAAAAATAACATTATTAAAAAACAATAAACAAATTTTTAAAGGAGATGCAAAATAATGCAAAATTGGCACATGTTTGTAATTCTTTGAATAGCGTTTAAAAGAATCATTCTCATTCGCAGATTTCGACAGGCTAAATAAATTGCCTCTCGAAGTTCTGCAATGCCGTCATATCGTGTTTTATATACTTCATTTTGTATATAGCCCCATAAAAAATCTAAAATTGGGAGATCTGGTGATCGTGGAGGCCATCTAACAGGCTCGTTGGTACCTATCCATATTTGAGGGAAGTTATTATCAAGAAATGCCTGGAGGTATAACTTGGAGCACTATCTTGCTGTAGCTAAACAGCATTATATTGGGCTAATGGAATATTTTTGAGCAGTTCTGAAATAACTTCCTCAAGGATTTCTAATTATCTACGTGCAGTAAGACCTCCAAAAATACTATAAACTATATGTCTGTCCAAAATGACATATGACGCCCCAGCTCCAAAGCGTTCTTGTTGTGCCCTTTTAAACATTAAATGCCCACACTTGAAAAAGAAGCATTCGTCTGACCAGATAACAAGTCTCCCAAATGAATCTTTAGCATCGATTTGTTATAAATACCAATGGCAAAACAGTGCCCGCCGCTCGGCATCGCCAGGATGTAAATGTTGCACTATATTAAATTTGTTGGCGCACCAATGTTCTTCTCAATTTTTCTACACGACGACGAAGGTGTTACTTTTATATATTCCAAATTATACATCTCTTTTCTTTCCCTGTTCTCCTTGTTGTTACGCACAACCCAAATTGTGTTACGTAAAACCACGTTGGTCCAATTTGCTAGTAAGAAATTAGCCCCTACGTCGTTCCTGCATAACTCAGATTTTCAAAGGATCACTATGAGAAACCGTAAGTGGACGAGGGCCAAGAGAGGCCTGAGCCTGAAACTAAAGAAAAGAAAGGTCCTCACGTTATATTTCTGCCGAGCTTTCCTAAAAAAAAAAGGTCGTCAGCTTATAATTTATAAACCAATGCCTGCTGATCGAGCTCCTAAAAAAAAGGTCGTCAGCCTAAATGCAAGTTTGTTACTGAAAAACGACGGGCCGTATGTTGTGCAGGACTGCCCTACGTGATACTTAACTTGAATGCCAAATCTGTTACATAACAAGTTGGGTGTCAGAAATGTTACCCTAGCTACCCTCGGCCTAGCTCAGCAGGGTCGGTGAAATTCGGCTTAGAATTTGACTAACAAATTAATGGCACCATCTTTATTTAAAAAGAACAGAAAATGTTATATTAATGGTTAAGGACGCCATGTATTAAGATGGTTAATAAATACAAATTATGTCATTAATTCAATTCAAGTCAACTGAAAGTAAGAAAGAAATTAAAAGAATTAAATTAATTAAATTAAAAAAAAGTGACTTTAATGTACAGAACGGTTTCTACTTGCTCCTGAATTTTAACAGTTTGAAAGGTTTTGCAACAAAAACAATTTATGTAGATTGAATTATAAATAGCTTTAATTAAATTGAACAGACTACAAATGTCTTTGTGACAATAAATGATAAACAACCGAGGCTCAATAGATATATACATATTAGTAAAAATGCTCAGGCTCTGACGAAAAATTTATCTGGCTTGGCTGGACTGTGGAGGATTTTCCAGCTTTAACTGGGCCGTTGATAGAGAGATGTTACAGATGTCTGGTTGCTCTATAATGGCGGTGTTCTACAGCTCCACGGCTATTCTACTGTTTGGACACCTTCATCCGTTCTATCCTCTTTATTTCGAGGTATCTATCCTCTTTGATACGGCTTTAGCTCGGTACCTCTTTGTTAAAAAAACACAGTGTCAGTCACTTATATAGAAAAACTTTTCCATCTCTTAACATGTTTTACACAAAAAGAAATTACCAAAATAAGTACATTTAACATAAATCAATTAGAAACATTACAGCGATTGATTAGATTCGCAACAGTATTCAGTCACCTTGGTAAAAGATAAAAAAAACGAATATCTAGATACAAAAACTAAATATAATGGCTTTTATGGCGTGCTAGCTTTAAAAAAAACATTTATATGTTAACAAACTAAAAATAATTCGTAGAATTCACGTAATAATCTACAAACGAGATGTTGAACCTGTAATCAAATTCTAATTAACCTCCTACAAGTGTCCTTGACAAATAGTTCTCGTACCAGTGGCGTACCTGAATTTTTTTCTTAGGCGGTATAATTATTGAATGTCGTTAATATTTCAGAAATAAAACTGAAATGTTATTTATAACGTTAAATTGTTGTATGATTTAGGACGCAGGTGAACAAATTATCCGTGCTCAATTAAATTTATTTTTAAACGAGCAAATATCTCAAACAAAGGTTTTCTTCTTTTTGGATATCTAACAAGAAAAAAATTAAAATGATAATAGAGATTTTTCATAGCCATAATAGCTTACCTGGATTTGATACCAGCATATCATATTTTTTATAAGCTGCCGTTATTCGAAGAAATTGATGAATATTAATTAAATAAAATACCAAAAGAACGAAAATAAACTGCTTTATAAACCAAAAGTCGATCCAAAAACCGATGAGATAGACAAATATTTGACATTTATGTTTGTTTCTTGCTTAGATGAAAGAGAAACATTGCACATAGCGCATGTTGTCTATTCCCACCTTAAGTAACCCACCAATTAAAAATCATTATTTCCATGATGCACATACTTTGATTACTATACGAGGCAAGAGAGAGGTCCGACACGCCCAAAATAGGGCGCGGCCATTTTGAACCCTGTGACACAGTTTACTGCTAAAGAATCAGATCGCTCAGGTCGGCAGTTTGGATCTCAATGTTTCAGTTTATACACTGTGCAACTCGGATAATACAATATATGACAACCGCCTATAATAAAACAGCAGTCTTCTGCGTATCCTGAATTTGTATCCCTGGAGTGGATATTATTTTGGAACTTTCAACTGGTCCGAGTGAGCTAACTGATTCTTTAGCAATAAACTGTGACTTCAAAAATAATATTTACTGACACTGACAGCAGCAAGCATAATATCAGGTGCGTTTTAATCATCCGCTTCTGCTTCCGGAATTGTCGGTTTAGTCGTTTTAACCTGTCAGATTAAAACAAGAAAACCGACAATTCCGAAGCAGAAGCGGATGATTAAAACGCACCTATTAAAAATATTGCGCCAAGATATAGGCAACACGTAATAAAGGTTCAAAATGGCGGAGTTTTCTATCTCCTTTTAAAATGCACTCAGAAAGCTGCGCAGTGCGACCATTCTTCGTATAGTAAAAGAAAATCAAAGTATGTGCCACGATGCCACTTGAATTGTTCCGACATTTCTATTCTACGCTCTTCTATCATCATGGACCGCCGTTTTTTGAATTATTTGTTGCTAATATTAGCGATTTAAAGTGTTTTAGTTATTCAATTTGCAGTTGAAAATGCCACGATGTATCGTAAAAAATTGTATATACAAATAATATAAGTGCCAATGTTATGAAAAAGAAGAAATATATTCGTTTTCAACGATAAATATTAACGTTTTGACATAAAAGCGCCATGATCCTTTGAGCTGAATACTTCAGATACGCATTAAGGGGTTTCAATAAACATTAAGCATAAAATATTTTCTAAAGGGCAAAATTTTGAACATTTAATGTAAATAAGAAGAAAAAAGGCATTGTTGCTTACGAAATTTTGATTTTAAAAAGTAGTTTTAAAAGAATAGTTACTAAAAGTGGTTTTTAGCCCTTTTTGGTAGATACATAAGAACTAAAGATGCATAGTTGCTAGCTAAATTTAATTTTTATGAGGTATTTTGATGAGAGCATTAGATAAAATACAGGATGACCTACTGAAAATTTCAAAGTTCATCTTATTTGCAGTCAAATCGGATGTTACATTTGGATCTTAAATCTTAAAACAAATTAAAACTCACAATATGATTTAGTATTAGCAAAAAAAAAATACTAAAGTTACATTGTTAGTTAATATGTTAGTTAAAAAACTCGAAAAAAATTTGTTTACTAAAAAAGCTAAATTATTACAATATTTACTATTTATCATACATTCGAATGCGGTTTTAAGGATAACGGGATCAAAAATATGCGAATCTCAAAATGTGCTCGGATAAAAGCAAGGGGTTACAAAAATAATCAATTATTTTGTAATTTTTTTTATAAAAATCGATTATCCGTTATAATTAATCGATTATTTTCGATTAATCGAATATTTTCAATAAATTATTTTCGTTTTTTCAAAGTTAATGGGATAATAGATATTAAAGGAAATACAAAATGAAAATAGATTTATTGAAAAATCGATTTATCATTTAATCGCCTTTTTCAATTAATCAGATATTTTCGATTTTTTAAAGGTATTTGAATAATTTATTTTAAAGGAAATACGAAAAAAAAATAGTTTTGGAAATAATCAATTGATCGAATATAATCGGTTATTTTATATAATCGATATTTCGGTTATTTATTTAAAATTATCGATTTATCGATTAATTAACTTTTTAATTAATCGATTTTTTCCGATTTATTGATTATTTTCGATTTATCGATTATTTTCGATATTCAAAGATAATCAAATAATCGATTTTAAAGGAAATACAAAGAAATAGATGATTTGATAATAATCGATTATTTAAAATATACGATAATTTGTTATTTTTTTGAAAAATCAGCTTTTTAATAAATAAATTATTTTTAATTAATCGAATATTTTCGATTTTTCAAAGGTCGAACAATCCATTTTAAAGGAAATATGAAAAAAAAAATAGATTATTTGATAATAGATTATCTAAAATAATCGATAACTCAGTTATTTTGTTTGGAAAAACGATTAAAAGGTTAATCGGCTTTTTAAGAAGTAAATTTTTTTTGATTAATCGATTATTTTCAATTTTTCAACGATTATCGAATAATCTATTTCAAAGGAAATACGAACTAAAAATAGATTATTTTTTGGAAACATCGGTTTATAGGTTATCGATTTTTAATTAATCAATTATTTTCGATTTTTCAATGAGAATTGAATAATAGATTTTAAAGGAAATACAAAAAGAGAATAGATTTATTTTTTGATCGCCTTTTTTAATTAATCGATTATTTTCGATTTTTCACAGATCGAATATATTCAATTTTAAAGGAAATACCAAAAAAATAGTTAATTTGAAAATAATCGATAATTCGTTTATTTTGAAAATCGATTTCTCGTAGAATCGGCTTCTTAGTTAATGGATTATTTTCGATTAATCTATTATTTTCGAATAATGGATTATTTTGATATTCAGAGATAATCGAATAATCGATGTTAAAGAAAATACGAAAAAATAGATGATTTGATAATAATCGATTATTTATAATAATCGATAATTCGGTTATTTTTTTTTAACGATTTAAAAGTTATTCGAATTTTTAATAAATAAATTATTTTTGATAAATCGATTATTTTCGATTATCGAAGGAAATACGTACAAAAAATAGATTCGATAATTCGTTTATTATTTTTTGGAAACACCGATTTATAGGTTAATCGGTTTTCAATTGCTCGATTATTTCCGATATTTCAATCATAATTAAATAATTGATTTTAAAGGAAATACAAAAAAAAATTAATGGTTTGAAAATAATCGACTGATCGAAAATAATTAATTAATCTAAAATAATCGATTATTTTCAATGATTGATAATTTATTTCGATAATCGCCCACCTTTAGCGACTTTTATTAGGTTTAAATTTTAAAATATCTGTTTCCAAAAATATGCATTTCTGGAGATTTATGTGACATCCTCTATATTAATCAATATTTTCCCAAAGAAAGAAGCTTTAATATACCTTTTTTTTACTATATAAAACAGCATATTTTCTCATTTTGACTAACTTTTAGTATTATGAATAGCTGTAGAAAAAATATAACTAACAAAATTTGATTTGCAGTATTCGCCTGCACACACGCTGCTGTTATAATCCACGTAGAAAATGAGTACCATTCCTTGCTCGATTAACAATAACATTTTATTGTAGTCTATAAAAAATAAAAGCTAATTAAATATTCTATAAAAGAACTATTGTATTCTCTTTACATAAAATGTCGTTGCATCTGTTTGATATTACAATATCACGTTAATTTTATTTCATAATACAACATTCCATTAAACACCTTCTTAGTAAATCTAATAGTTCATTATGATGGTAATAAACAAAGGCCACCCCAGTCACAGAGTTCGGGTCTCCTCCCAGTTCCCCCACTTCGTTAATCTTTCTTTAGAAATTGGCAACATTTGCACAGGTTAAACACCGTAGTATGTTACATCTCTGGTTCCTTTTATCTAAGCTTTCTTGTCATAAACAATAGCCATGGCCTACTATTAAATTATGCATTTAATTTTAGAAAATTGTCATTTATTTGCGTGTTTCTGAGAAAAAGTGTATCGCCTTATATTTTTGAAGAGGTAAAAAAAGACAAATTTTAAAATCTATAAATATACAGGGTGTTCCATTAAAAAAAAAACGTCAGTTTGCTTTATAACTCAAAAAATACGTAACACAAATTATCTACACCACTACATTCTACGGCAAAAAATCTATAAGAATATTGTTTTACCTTTTCGGTAAGTTGAAGGATAAAGGAGATAAGAGGAGGTTCAAGAATGCAACATTTTTAAAAATGCTCTGTATCTTAAAACCTAAAAGGGCTATAATTTTTAGTTTTTCGAAGAAGTAGCACAGTATCGCGAAAACCGCAATCCTCTATCTTTAAAAATAACGGAGATACCCCGCAAAAGTACCCAAAATGGGACACTCTGTACATTGGATGATAGTTCTATGTGTTTATTTTTTGTTTTTTAAATAAAATAAAATAAAAAATTTATATAAACTTAGGTAAATGAATTTACTACCATAATATAATCGTATAAATTGTAAAAGCTTAAAAACACTTTTTAACTTCTATTTTTAACAAAACTATCTCATTTTCATGAGTAGTCATTGTTGTAGAACAATACTGTCTTCGATTTCACTTAAGTTGTTTATAGTTTATAAAAGTTACTTCGAATATTCTTATCTATAATTTTTGTTCTATACAAAACTTTCCTAAAATGGTCCGTATTCGAGAAATTTCACAAAATGTAAAAAAAAATTATTTTTTATAAAAATTGTTTAAATAAAAGTTGTTTGTAATATAATTCTCTATAATTTCTCTAAAATGGACCGTACTCGAGATATTTGAGAAAATGTGTAAATTTTGAATTTTGAAGAAAACTCCAAAACGGATAAAGAAAAAAACATTAAATTTTAAACTTAAGTTTTATTTCGGCCTGACGTGCAATGATTAGATTTTGGACAAAGTCGGAACATCTGGGGGGATACTTTATGGAAGGTCGTTTTTATATTTTATAGAATATATCTGTTATTTATGTTTGGAGAAGAAAATTGTTTAAATAAAAGTTGCTTCTAATATTATTATCTATAATTTTTGTTTTATGTCAAAATTTCCTAAAATGGTTTGTATTCGAGAAATTTGACGAAATGTGCAAAATTCTGATATTTATGAAAATTGTTGAACTAAAAGTTGCCTTTGGCCATTCCCTTTTAAGCATATTTTTTGAACAAAAGGCTCATAAATCGTAAGAATTTTCACCCCGGAGGGGGCATGGCCCCCATGGCCCACCCCTGGAGCCGCCCTTAATTCAAATTAAAATGTAATTTTTCAGTTGACTATCCTCCCTGCATGATATAGATAGGACACAGGCTACTTCTGTATTAAATCCGCGTTAGTTTGAACTATTCTAAATCATTAAAAGCCGAAAATTTGAAATTTTGGAGTAAGGCTACTTCTGATCTGAAGCGACTGTATTTCGATTAATTTAATGATTCTTTTCTACCCATCACCATCTGGCTATTGATTTCTGATGAAATCGATGATTTCATAATCGAAATAAATCTCATTTTGGCACTAATAGAATTTTGTATACTTACAGTTTAAAATGAAATTTGCATTTAAAAATAAATTTGACTTCTTTAATAACTTGGGAAAACTCATTATTAAATAGGTTTCTTTCGCTAAGCTGTGTAATAAACTTTTGTAAATCAATTGATATTAATGCAGCTACCTTTGTAATTACAGAAAGTATGGGGGAGTCGTATGAAAGAAGTTCATCTCATCAACTATCCTAATTCCATTGATACCCTGATGTCGGTTGCAAAAGGACTCTTACAGAAAAAGTTATATGATAGGGTAAGGAAATTAAAGCATTGTACAATAACTACTAGAGTAATCCTATCATTCATAAGTAAGTACTAGTACTTGCAAGTATTTAATTCATGTTTTATGTTAGAGATATAGAGCTGTCGCATTAAAAGGAGCGACATGCTCTACTAAATTCAGTGATAATGGCGTTATGCAAGCACGTGTGTTATGAATCAACTCGCAAATAGATTATGATGCCTGCTTTACACTATTGTATAAATGATGTACTTTCCTGGAAATAATCTTCAACTAAAAGACATTAAAATGATAATAACTGGCATTGGGGTCTATTCTGTAACAATTCCTTTATATTTAACGGCCTTTAAAAATATTGGCGGCCTATAAAAATATGTTCGTATTCGTTAATTTACTTCTGCCATTATTTAAACAGATTTCTTTAAGGTAGTCCTCTAATGTATTTTAAAGATCCGTTTAAATAATGACAGAAGTAAAGAAGAAAATATTTTTAAATGCCGTTAAATATAAAGGAATTGTTACAGAATAGACCCCTTTAAGAACTGAAATACACTTCCTTGATGTAATTTTGAAAGCCTTTTTATATTTTTAAGCATTTTGTTTAGTAAATTCCAAATTGTAACCACAAAGAATCCTTGCATATAGACCCTTCCTTAATAATTTGGCAACTATGTAGGTAACAACACGAATGCTTGCAATACACTTTTTGCAAACAAAATTGGTCAAGTAGTTATGCGTCGTTGAATGTTCGTAATTTATTTATAAATGTAATTTTTTGTTTGTATTGCAGATTTTCTTACACTCCAGTTATGATAGTTTATTAGAAAAAATCCCTCGAGATATGTTGCCAAGTGACTATGGTGGACAAGAAAAATCATTAAAAGAGTTAATAGGTAAATATGTTGGATGTTATTGTTGTTATTTAAATTTTTTGAAAGAAGGGATTCCACTTATACTCATAGAGAGTTATTGCAAGTTCAGTTAAGGTCAGTCACTATTAGTGCCGCTCTTATTTTGTCATCTGAGCATGTGCAGATCATTTACATTCTAGAACTGACTTTATTAAAGATTGTGCCTGTCCTTAACTCTGGATGTTTATGGGCAGAACATAATGGTGACTTTAGAGCTTTTGGGTGCGCTCGCCGACAATCGTAACAGTTCGAAGTTTTTTAATATTAAATATTTAATATCATTGTCATATAAACCTTCTAAAATTTTAATTTCGAATGCCTCTTTCATATTATGTACAATTATAAACAACAAAAAAACTGTAATTTAAATGAGGTTAGAAATATGTATAGAGACCTTAGACTATGTAATAAAGAGAGAACTCATAACGCCGCTGAAAATCTTGTTCCATTCTGACACCAACGATATTTGACCAATTGCGTAACATGTTGGAAATAAAAAACGAACTTGTATTTATGTTATTAGTACTTTATTGATCTTTTTAGGTATAAAGAAGTTCAAAGCGTAAAATTTAAGATAAATAAGTAACAATAAATAAGACACAAGAAAAAAAATATATTGAAATAAACTAAATGAAATCGTTTGCATAATAAAATGAGTGTTTTTTTTTAAATTCCGCAAAATAAAACAATGATCTACATGTATTACAAAAATATTTATTTTTAGTTATTAAGGAATGACAGTACCCAGATAGCACAGACACGTTTTAAAGACATCTTAAAGACGTTTGTTCACGACGTTCGTGACGTTTTGACGTACATTGTTACAAAACAAGGTGTCTTTAGGCCATCCAATTTTGTACGTCTTTAAGAAATCCACTTTTTTATGTCTTTAAGACAAACCTGATTGGACATGTTTAATCCGTCTATTTACTTGATGGAAATTCGTTTAAAAAAATAAATGAATACTTGTCTACTATATTTAATACTGTTTATTATAACATCATTAAACTATTTAAACTGAAACATAGAGTAAATATTATTTTACAGTGTTGGATAAAATAAATAGAATAATTTATTACGTAACAAGAGTTGTAAGTAACCCATTACGGACGAAGTGGAAAAGTTTACGCACAAAGCCGCGCAGTGTCGAGTGCGTATATTTCACGTAATGGGCTTACAACTCGTGTAACAAACTATACTTTGTCTACTCCTACTTATTTTCTTTTATTAAATAAAGGACATATTATGCTTGTATCGCCAATCCATAAATTTGCGATAAGTAATTTCGTACCTTTCTTTGGATCTTAGTGGTAACAAATTATGTGTGGCAGTTCTAAAATCTTCTGTGGAGTGCTCATAATTTCATCATTTTTACTACTAACACACATATTCGTAGGTAAAGTTGAGAAAATCTTTGAATACAATAATATTTTGTTACAAAAATTGACAATATAAATGACAAGACGTTTATTTCCATAGCATGCTAAGAAAACGCGATTCATTTTTTGAAAAATTTTATAATTTAGAGGCATTACTTTTTAATGTATCTCGCTATTGCTAAAAGTTTTTATGTTTTTCAATTGACTTAATTTATTTAAATAGACCAATTAGTACGTAGATAAAAATTTGATTGCAATTTGATTAAATTAAGAAATTTAAGTTTTCTTATCAAAACGCACGTGTATGTTATGAAATCTCATTACATGCATGTTATTGTTAAATGTCATTTACAAGGAATGTTGACAGTGCGATTTTTAACGTTTACTGACATGGGCGTAGAAAAAATGAGTTTAAGTTCTTGTTGGTATGGGAAACTATTCCCGAAAATCCTATTTTTTTCCAGTTTGGTCGATTTAAAAACTTCTTTTATGGTATTAATTTTAGCCAAAGCGTCTGTAACTAATATCCCCGTAGCGTATAATTTTGTTGAATTATTGTTTTAAGGTGTTTTTCTAAAAAATAAGACATTATTAAAGTGAGGTTATGAAATGAAAAGGCAAATAAATTAAAACTTACCGTTTTTAATTATAAAGTTTACTAGTTGCGGTATACCACAGTTCCAATAATGGCAAATAAATAATATAAAAAGACAATATATTAAAACACACAACCACGAAAAAGTAATGACAATGTCCACAGACTGACGCTAAAAATATTATGATCATTATGAATGGCTGTCTCGAGAAGACGGCAGCCAGAGGAAGAACACGACTCGATACGCGCGCGCGTGAATATGCAATCAGCCAATGACAATGACGAATGACGATCATACATGTGATGCAGGCAACGCCATAATGGTGTCGTGGCGCCATATTCAAATATAGTAAAACGAGTTGAACGTCCACATTACCGACATATTTAAAACGTCCTAAAACATCCCAACAAAGACGTTTTAAACATGTACTGAGCAGGGCGTCTTAAAGCCGTCCGTTTTAGGTACCGGGATGTTTGGACGAAAGTAAAACATGAACTGGACATCTTTAGGATGTAGTGTGCTATCTGGGTATTATTAAATTAAGCTAGTAAGAAAAAGTATACATAAATGAAGATAAATGTATTACTGGCCCTTAAATATTACTACATAATTTGGTATAATAACAAGAAGTTTTAGCGAAACAACTCTTTTTTTATATCTTTTAAGTTTTTGTATAAGAACTTTGATTTGTCTTGTTTATTTTTTATTCTTTTCTACCTGTTGTAAAAGTTGTATTCTAAGCCGTTTTATGCTAGGCCTTTCTAGGATAGATTCCTTATTTGCAATTCTATTTGAAGGGTCAAACTCAGCTTGAAAATGCAATGCCCTTCTTTTTAAGTCCTACAAACAATAAATTATTACGGTAATGTTTTGAATTATACACAAAAGGGTTGCTAAAATCTTAAAAGTGCATAACATAATAATAAAAAGTAATTAAAAAAAATATATATAAATTTAATTATTGAAATAAAATTAATACTAAATTTTTAAAAAACAAATAAAAAATGTTTAGCGCGAAGATGAAGGGGTAAACTGAAATAAAAATTCATTAAAAAAACAATTTTTCTATATATAAAACAGAATATTAAAATAAAAATGGTGCCAAATTGTCAATAAATATAAAATACAACATAAAAAAATAACAAAATCACTTAGGAAGGGATGAGGGGATCAAATTTAATAAAATTCCATTAAAAATCTATTTAAAAATTAATAATTTATTTCAATGCTGGATTGTCTTTTTCGGCAAATTAATTTTTAAATAGATTTTTAATGGAATTTTTTATTTAAGTTGACCCCCTCATTCCTTCCTAAGTGATTTTCTTAATTTTTTTAGGGTTGTGTTTTATAGATTTTAACAATTTGGCACTAATTTTAATTCAATACCGGATTGTCTTCTTAGACAAATTAATTTTTAAATAGATTTTTATTGGAAATTTATTTAATTTGGCCCCCTCATCCCCTTTCTAAGTGAATTTGTGTTTTTTAGGTTGTATTTTATAGTTTTTAACAATTTGGCACTAGCTTTATTTCAATGCCGATTGTCTTCTTAGGCAAATCAATTTTTAAATAGATTTTTAATGGAATTTTATTAAATTTGACCCCCTCATCCCTTCCTAAGTGATTTTGTTTTTTTATGTTGTATTTTATATTTATTGACAATTTGGCAATATTTTTATTTCAATGTTCTGTTATCTTTATTAAACAATTAAAATTAAAATGTTCCTTCCTTTTTTGTGGTTTTATTAGAAATGACCATATAAAACCATTCAAAATTCAGTAATAATAATTAATAATTCGTTAAAAAAATTGTAGAGAATTTCATTTATATTATAGTTGTTAATAATTTTTCTTTTCAAATTACATTATAAATGAAAGCTTAGACTAGGTAAATAAAGATAAAACTCGTAACGCCACAGGAAATTGTGTTCCATTCTGATACCAATGCTAATCGACCAGAGGCGTAACATATTGGAAATAAAACAATGAACTTCTATTAAGATTATTAGTACTTTATTGATCGTTTTACGTATAAAGCAAGTTCAAAGCATAAAAATTAAAATAAACGGGACGAAGCCTGATGTGTAGTGATGGGCAGATCGGATCCGATCCGATTCAGTGAATCGGATCTTTAAAAAGAGTTGTCTGACCCGACTCTCAAAATATTACAGTGCTCGATCACGGATCTTTTTGAAAGCAGACGTCAAACCGTTGTTGCATAACGCTGTCCGGTGTTTTAAATCTGAATCCGAACGAGCCATATCGCAGTAAAGGTGGACGCGATTCCCGTCTGATCCGAGATTCAATTACTATTTATTGACAAAATTGAATCTAGGATCAGACAGCAGTCAGGTATATCACAATAATGTATTGTGCAATTTGCTCCTTGAATATACTTCTTATTTAGTACATCTATTTTGTTTGTATACAAGTAATTGTTTTTAGTTGTCTCTAAAGGGAAGTATTAAAATCATTTAAAAATCACTTTTATGGAGGCAAGAGTAAAAAAAATAATAATATTTGACCGAAAAATTATTCACTTTCTTTTTCTTAAAAGCATATAGAGAATTCTAATTTGCGATAAAAATCTGTTTCACACAAATTTTGGTGCGCCTGAATTTTAAATGGACGTTAAAAATGTTTTTTAAGATTATTTATAACACTTGTTTGGCTTAAATCTAACTGTTTTGCCAAAATTCTTGTGCTTGTGTTAACATTTTCGGTGACGGATAGAAGAACATTTTGGTGATTAGTTTCGTCATCTGTTGTGGGCTTATTTATGGTACGGTTTTCATGAGCAACAGTACCAGTTTCACGAAATATTCTTAAAAGTCTTAAAAACTTTCCTGGGATAATCTTGGAAGGGAAATTTTCGATGCCTGAATCCAAAATATTTTTTCTGGATCCACATGACATCTAAAATAAAATAACAAAAAAATATTGCTACAATTAAATAAAAAACGTTTAAAAAGCATAAGACAAATATCAAAAGTAAATTAGAGTTTAATAAAAGTTAATATTTAGAATTGTACGATACGCCACTGGAAAAAATTGCTTGTTTGGCAATTTTTAATATCATTAATTGTTTAAACAAAAATGAAGAGAATAAAATAAATAAAGGACCCCGCAATAATCTTATGGAAATTGGGTTTCTGTCAAATTGTCTGAATTTTTGATATGTTGTAGATTGTGTCATCCTGAACAAAAGTCTCCATGGACACAAAGTGCCAAAATGAATATTTTGGCAGCTACAGAGCTGCCAACGCTCCCCTGACCCTTTGCAGAACTATTTATTTTCAGTACTATTTACAGATGTCAAAAGCATATTTTAATTATTCTAATATATAGGGTAATGTTTTTGAGGTCACTGAATTCAACCCTCATGTCAGATTGGACAAATTGACCGTTGACAACTGTCAATACACTGCCAACGAAGAATAGAAAAGTAAATATTCTCTGTTGACATTGAAAGTTTAGGCTTTTGAGGGAGCTGAATTCAATTCTAGTATCAGAGAGCTGTCAAATTGTCCAATTTGACATGAGAATTGAATTCAACGACCTCAAAAACCCAAACTCTCAATGTGAAAAGAGGATATTTTCTTCTTTATTCTACTTTTTCCAATCTGGCATGAGAATTGAATTCAGCGACCTCAAGAACCCAAACTCTCAATGTCAACAGAGAATATTTAATTCTCTATTCTTCGTTGACAGTGAATTGACAGCTGTCAACTGTCAATTTGTCCAATGTGACATAAGAATTGAATTCAGCGACCTCAAAAACCTAAACTCTCAATGTGAAAAGAGGATATTTACTTTTATATTCCTCGTTGACCGTGAATTGACAGCTGTCAACGGTCAATTTGTCCAATCTGACATGAGAATTAAATTCAGCGACTTCAACAACTCAAACTCTCAATGTGAAAAGAGGATATTATTTACTTTTATATTCCTCGTTGACAGTCAATTGACAGCTGTCAACTGTCAATTTGTCCAATCTGACATGAGAATTGAATTCAGCGACCTCAAAAACCCAAACTCTTAATGTAAAAAGAGGATATTTACTTTTATATTCTTCGTTGACAGTGTATTGACAGTTGTCAACGGTCAATTTGTCCAATCTGACATGAGGGTTGAATTCAGTGACCTCAAAAACATTACCCTATATATTAGAATAATTAAAATATGCTTTTGACATCTGTAAATAGTATTGAAAATGAATAGTTTTGCAACGGGTCAGGGGAGCTTTGGCAGCTCCGTAGCTGCCAAAATATTCATTTTGGCACTTTGTGTCCATGGAGACTTTTGTTCAGGATAACAAAATCTACAACATATTAAAAATTCAGACAATTTGACAGAAACCCAATTTCCATAAAATTATTGCGGGGTCCTTTGGCGGATAACATTTATTACTCTGGAGTAAAACATGTACAATAAACACCAAGTTGTATAATAACCAATTAAAATAAAAAATATATAAAGTATAAATTATTGATGTTTATTATTTACCTGTGAAAAATAATATCTGGTTCTTTCTTGTCGCTACGATGACAAATAAACACGAGTAAAAAGCTGTGGTGTCGCCGAAATGCTTAGCACCAAAATAATGGCGGCCAATCGATAATCTAAAAATAATCTAATATCTAAGAATGGAAGTAATATCATGATGTTTTAACAGTATAGAATATAATCCTTGAGGGGTTTTTTCTTACAAGAAGTAATAATTTATTCAAAATTTTATATAAGTTGATTAAGTAGTTTTGGAAAAAATAAATGCTTTTTTAAAGGACCCCTTTTAAAGTCCCATTTACCCCCTGAAAATTAAATTTCTTAAAAATCTTCCTTTCTAAAACATTAAAACATTTTTTTAATATTATTTATTTCCTACTTTTTAGATTTATGGAAATTGAAATTCGAAGAATATAATGAAAGATTTGACAAATTATTGAAACTGAGAGTTGATGAGAAACTTAGACCTGTAGCATTGAGCAATTCGGAAGTGTTAGGTTATTACGGAAATTTTAAGAAACTTGATGTAGACTAATTTCTGATTTGTAAAATTTACCTGTAGTTCAAATATACAATATTTTTTACTCTATTATTTTTTTTTATAAAACTAAAAATACTAGTATTACACTCGTTTTGATCTATTAAATAATGAAGATTGAATAAGTACAAGTGGATAAAAATATTAATATGATGCTATTGATCGCCCTGTGTATATATATCATTATTTTCATTGTACAACAATAAAACGATATACATATTCTATTGCCAGTGACATAACTTTCATTTATCGGAAACTATAAAAGTTACCTTTGATAATTTTTATAGTTGTTTTCATAACAAACACTTCTCATATATAAAAGTGTTCTCTCAGTTTTTAACGTAAGTATGAAGTCTCCCAGCAATTACTACTAGAGAGGGTCTTCCCCCTTCTCCGCGCTTAATTTTGTATCAACATCTACTCGTCCCGAGGGGGGAAATCCAGCGTTGTCAAGTTTGATAGCGCCAGTTTTGACACTTTCTGACATACGACAACTTTTGATTTGTATTTTACGAAAAATATAATTACTTATAGCGTTGTAAGGGTTGTAAATGTATATTTAAGATTTATTATCTCTAATAATATGGTGAAAACATGCTTTATGTATGCTTTATGTTGAAAATGCTTCGTTAAGATTATATATCATAAGTAACTACAAACATAACTATTATTCAATTGAAATAATTAGACCTTTACAGTGATTTTGTTTAATTTTCTGCATCAGATACATATAAGATGGTATACATTTTAAAAATTGTAAAATTAGCAAATTTTGTAGTTTTTTTTACAATTAAAAAGTTTGGACATTGTGTGTTTATTACAGAGAAATGATACGCCACTGAAGAAGAAGGGGTTTTAACCTTCCCCCTTGCCGCTTAATCACTTTCTCTACAGATGTTGCAAACACAACAATCTCCTATAAACTCGTTTCATGCCCCATCTAGTAGTAATTGCTCGGAGCATAAAGTGAGCAACAAAATATGTTAATAAAGTAGGCGTTGTAAAAATATGTCTGAGCCTCCAAATCTTGTTTTATATAAGTTTAGCATGGATTTAATTTGGAGCCGTCCATAATTATCACTTTTATAACCTCTGTTTCTGTCTTTCTTGACCTTCTTTGGAAACATAATTTTAGAAACATTGATTCCAATTATAATAATTATTAAATTACATGCTTACAGTTCATCAAATTTCTAGAGGTGTTCGACGCCCAGACAGAGAACGCGCTACGTGTGACTAAGATAGCTATTGTACAGTCTGCTAAACAAGTTATTTTAAATAGTTTTTAATATTTTTAGGTAATTAAATTTTAAAAGTGTGGAATAGTTTAGGGATTAAATTGGTCTGATTGGACTTTCTTAGAACGTTTTTAAAAGCATCTAAAGATAGTATGTAGAATTGAAAATAATTATTATGCCATAAAAGGTGTTTTGGAATTCCTTCAACCTTTTGAAACTGAGTCAGAAAATATAAATTTTATAGGATAGCGGAAAATACCTATAATTTTTTTGTATGCCTTTGTAAATCGTGGAAATAGTTTATATTTTATTTCTACCTTATTAAGGAAAATGGTACCTATTATTAATAACGGTTGTTTCTGAAACCTTACTAAAATTTTCGAAATTTTGTTTTTCTACAAAATAATAAACTATACTATTTAGAAAAAAATTTATTTCTCTTATAATTTTATAAAAAATAACAGGGGAATATTTACATTTCTTGATCTATTAAACAAAACGATAAATTATCTCGACGAATGACACCATGTTCTAGTACGGAAGCTAGCTTTACAGTTTTGTTGGTGGTTTCATGGGTTTCATATCAATTTTTTGTAATTGTAGTTTACACGTACATATACCTCTTAACACTTGTTTGCTTTATTAAAAAAGTGTGTTGTTGTGATTTATGTCGAAATAAGTCAAAAACAACTTGAAACCCCATATAAAATCAAAAAGGAGAAACGGAAAAAAATTGAGCCTGTAAATGAACACAACTCAGAAACAAAAATAGCTATCTAATAATAAAAAAATAAAATTTGATTCTTGTGCAGCTTCATCTATATCATTAACTGTTTTTGGTTTTTTAATGGTTTTTCTTGGTGATGAAAATTCCGATATCTCACGGTTATCGATTTTTTTTTCTCTCCAGAAATGCGGACGACAGTGTTTTTAGATACTCCTGTGGCTGCAGCAACACGATCATTTACATGTTTAAATGGTATTGAAGGTGAATTAAAGTTTCCTTCTCTTCTCATAAACTCTATAACATTGGCTATTATTTCGCGAGATTGACTGTTAATCACGCGGCCTCTTAATTTGCTATTAAACTCCATACTTAGGTTCTATTAAACTGTAATGAGCAAAAAACACAAACGAAAATAAAAGAAATGTTTTAGCGAAATTTACATCTGACATTTACGTCTGAATGAAATAGTGAAATACTTGATGCGCAGAGTGTACTTTCATTGCGTAAATCCGTCGGGATGCCTGTCAGTAGTGCTTTCTCTGTCTAGCCGTCGAAAGCCTCTAGAAATTTGATGAACTGTATCATGTTTTATTTTTTGCTTTGATTTGACAAGATCTAATGTAAGTTATAGTCGCTATTTATGGACTACCGTACTAACGATATATCAGTTATGTCATGGCGGAAGAATACAGGTGAAGCGGTAAGCGGTACGAAATTTGGTCATTCTTGCGCATGACGTCACCTTCGGAGCATATTTTTGTTTTGCCTATGTCTCCAATGTTAAAAAGCGACTTTTAAAGTTATTCTAATATTTTCCTGGTAGTGTTTAGAAGTTTATAGATATATTTATCTTAATATTTAATATCATTTCTATATATCAATAGGCCTGTTTAGAAATTATTGGTACGTATTATTAAATTAATTTCTAATTAAGTTGGTAGTGTAATTGATATAAAGTTAGGTAGATAAAAGAAATAGTTTCTATTCATTATTGTTATTTTAATATATCATTATTATTATTATTATTATTATATTATTGGTACATTAAAATCTACTATATTTTAGGATGTGTAGTTACTAACAAAATGCCAGGTTGTGCAGTGTTTGGCAGCAAGAAATATTCAAGAAAAACAAAGGGAACAAATATTAAGTATTTTGGATTTCCGAAAACAGATATAGCCAAAGCCTGGGTCAACGGTTGCGGGTGAAAAGATACAATTAATTTGAAAAATGGTATGATTTTTGCAAACCTAATTTGAATATGATTCATTTTATGTCTTGTTTCTTTTTAAGCTTGTATTTGTTCCATACATTTTTCGAAGGATAGTTTTGAAATACCCTTACAACAGAGGCTATTAAACTACTCCACTAACACTGGCAGAAACTTAAAACAAACGGCAGTTACTACTGAAAATCTCCCATTGAAAAAAAGACAATTGTCTGCAGAAAGTGACGATAGATTAAGAAGGCAGGCAAAAAGATATCAACAAACATTTATTGAGAGCTTTGTTAATATTTCGGGACATTCCAGACAATTGTCAACTGCAGACCAGGACAAGGAGAATCAAAGTTTGGAAACAGACACTCAAAATATATTGGTATCATCAGAACTAGAAACGTATGTACAAATTTACCTTATTAACAAAAAATGTGGCTTTGAAAAGAAAATTACACAACTTAGCATGTACTAATTAACATTAAAATCATTTCAAAACTATTTTTTTATTAAATATTAAACTTTGAAGTGATAATTGCTTTTATTTCAATATTAACTGTATGTTATTGTTTCAGGTGTGACCACCGAAATGAAATTATTATTTTAGAGAAAACTATTAAGAGTCTTCGTGAAGAGCTAAACAAAATTACTGAAAAATGCAACAAATCAAATATAGAAATACTTTCATTGAAAGAAGAAATTAGCCAGTTGAAAAATAATTCTCAAGTGGAAATTCAGGAAAGTAAAGTAAATGTTTCACTCCGGGTCAAATAAATGTTTTATACAATGAAAATAATAAAAGAATTCGTTGAAGTTCGGATGATATAGCATCCACAATCTCCCTAAGAAGCATTCGTCCTAAGGCTTATAGATTTTAAGAACTGTTCATTATCCTTTACCTGGGTTTACTACCTTAAGAGACTGGGCTAAATGTTTAAATTTAGAACAAGAAATATACATTATAAAGTGTTAAGCAAGATAAAGAAGTAAACATTATGTATAAACCATTTTTAAACATAAATACATCAATTTAAAATAACACCTCTGTGCTTTTTATTAAAATAAAGTATGTTTTGCCAAGTGTTTCTATTTATTAAAAACATAAAGGGGTTTACCAGCACCCAACCATACAAGAAAGTAATTGATCTGTGCATACGAGTTATTGATGGCCATGTTTGATGACTAATTTAAAATTAAATTATTACATTTATAATCTATAAAAGTAATACATACTTTTAAACTGATTATTTAAGAAAATTGGCGACTAAAAAAATATACTGATCATAATTCATTTCACTTTAATTTTATTGTTCAGCATTCGTTAACATTATACACAAGTTTATTGGAATCGATTCAAAATTATTTATTGTTGAAGAATTAATTACATTCTTATCAACAAAGATAGATAACATAAGTTAAAATTCAAAGGAAAAGAAGCAAACAAAATATTCATAAATGAAATTTTTTATTTTAAAATTTTTTAAATTCTAATATCAAGACAAAATATAATATAAAAACAAAAATGCATAACCTAAGTACAAATATGACAATCGAGAAATATATATACAGGAGTATACATATAAATTAAAATGAACTACTTAATTCAAGGCATCTTAGAAAAATTTATCCACTTTGTAGTATACCTTTTTGAGCAAGAGTTTCTTGCTTTTTAAACATATTTAATGAGTCAGCACTTCCTATTATTAATTAATTGGAAAGAGGTTAAACATTTTTCCACTATACACGGGACACTACATATTTCAGTTTCACTTTTAAATTAGTTATTTGTATATGCCTTTTACTAGTTCCAGGTTTTATCCGTACTGAGCCACTAAAACTTTTTAATGGTAATGTCTCTGTAAGTTTAGGT